ACTATAACAACAATTGGCACAGAAAAACTAGAAGAGATCAATTAGATGTACGTCTAAACTATTCCAAACTATTTCAAGCCCATCAAAAGCAAAATTTCCTAAATTTACGGGCTTGTCACATTGATCGACTATCTTAACTCTAGAAATAAAAAGCTGACAATGACATTTAATTAAGGTATAAAAAGGGTAGTACATTAAGATTATTATGATTTACAATTTGTTAGAAAAAACGTTGAGTCCATATCCGTTTGCAAATGCTTTTCTTTCTGCACAGTGAAGAGTTTTTGCATGTCGAAATGGGTATTTGCTAGACCTGCAATCAAATTGTTCATATTTAAAAATCAAAACTGAACTTTTGGGCAAGCATAGTCATCCAAGTTAATGATCTCCGTTTTCAAAAATTCTGACAGAATCTTACATTTTTTATAACTTTTTGCAAAAAATTCTGTTTATGTTGCTTCTTGATTTTCCAATAATTTTTCAAAATCAGTATATTTTTTGTAACTGCTGCTCAAACTGATTCCATGAAGATGTTTTGTGCACCAAGAAGATTGGGATGATAATTTGGATTTTTTTGGGAGGAAGAAATAAATATTCTACAATTTGTCCATCTTTAAAAACTCCTAACTCTTTCACTCTTTCACAATTTTGTTTTCAAAACATTCAATATCCAAAACAACCAGACTCATTTGTTAATTGTTTTCTCTGGAGCTTTTTGCTTAAACTGATTCACAATCGAACAATGCATATACTGATGAAACAAATATTTTAACATATAAACAGAAAACTATTCCGGTCACGTGACCAAGAAGTCATGAACTGGATAGACTAGGTGCAACCTAACAAAACCCAGAAACTTTTTTCGTAGTAGATTTCACAGATCCAGCAGTATTGTAGAATTGCATGTAGTCTAAAGAGTTTGGAGTTTGCAAAATAATAATCAATACAGGAATTTCCGTATCCAATTTGACCTCCAAATGGAAATTTTTGGTCCAATTCCTTCAAATTTTATGTCCGGGTCCAAAACAAAACAGGTACCAAAAAAATATTTTTTTGTCTTTTCGTATTTGACGACAAATTTTGCTTTATGATCTCAAAAGATCTTAGAATTTCATTCATTTTTCTTACGCTCATTTTCTACAGTGCATTTGTCAATAGTAATGATGCAAGATTTTTTGATTGTCTCTATATAACCTAGTAAGGAAGGAAGTATACCGAGTAACTTATCTTATTCTTCTCTTTGTAGTTGTGAAGATTGATTATTTTTTCATTGATTTCCATTTCTACGATTTTCTATAAGTTCTATTTTTTTGGTATCGGATCTGCACCTTTTGTGATTTCTTCTTCTACTATTATGCAGAGTCCACTCAAAAAGAGATATTTGTGAGTCTTTGTCCAAATTCTGCAAGTTTGGTAAATTTTGTGATTCTATAATCATTAGTGAAACTTTTCGGGTTTTAGAACATTATGAAAACATCCCAAATTATTGTGAAACTTTAGGATTACTTTTCTTGACAATATTCCAACTCATACTGAAAGATAAAAAACATGAATAACACATTTTACTCTACATTACAGTTCTCAACAATCATAAAGTCTCCGAAAATTTGAAACAGTTCTTTGAATTCATTCAAAGTATAGATGACATAGGCAACTTGTTTCATTGCTTCATTTTCTTTTGCAGTTAAGAGTCGAATCTGAATGTAGGGAGGTTTGTTAATATTGTACTGCTTGATCGTGACACAAACTTGTCTGCTATTATAAATAACTATGTCATACACTTTGTTGCATTTGCCAAGCTCCTGAACCATAGTTGACTCCTTGTCAGAAAAGAGTTCCAATATGGGAAAGAGTCCCAGGTTTTCAGCATCGTAAAAAAACACTATTTCTAATTGTCGAGATTGCTTCTTCTTCTTTTTCATCAAGATAGACTTGCTGTTGTTTTTCGACTTGTCCCAACTCCATTTTTCTTGAATAGATAAAAACAGGGTTCGAAATAAACTTTCCCCTTGTAGGATTTTTGGGACCAAGCAAATCTCCCAGTTGTTGTTTGATTTTTTCTGAGAATCCAATATAATTGGGACCAGTGTCTTTTCTTGTGTACATTTGAAGAGCAAACTGATCAGATGATTAGAAATGAGAGAAATAATTTTGAGATTAATTGAAAATGGAAGTAATCAAAATGAGTCATTCAATTAATCATAAAAGGAATTAGAAATATAGATGGATTTTTTGAGTAAAGTTTCCAAATACGGAATTCTGTCGGTGTTGTTGTTCCTATGAAATTCCACAGTTGTCAGTGAAAACCATTGTTCCAGATGGATGCAGCTATGTGTCAAGCTTTTCCCAGCTTTTATTCAGATTTTAATGAAAAATTACCATTGAATTCTGTTTCCAGTGATTTTTACGAGAAGTATATAGTAAACAATAGACTTTTTTTCTCTTCTCACAATTCTTACTGTTCTTTAGAAAATTGTGAGTTCCATATACTTCTGATTGGTTCAACTTTTGATCAAGTTTTACAGCGGATAATTTTCATTGGATAATTTTCATTTCTTATACCAAATTTTGATTGTCTTTATATCTGTACAAAAACAGATTTTATTCGAATGTTATTTAAGCAACTGGCGAAGTTTTCAATCAACTTGACCCCGCTGTTCATCACAATTTTAAATGGAAAGAAGCAGAAAAAATGCCAAGTGTTGCAAAGAAAAGACTGTTACGCAAAAAATTCAAACTTCATTATTTATGTTCTAACCAGAAACTAGCTTCCACACAAACTATCGGTTCAGCATTTCTGGATAGATTTCGTAAAGTACAAAACCCAAAATATGAACATGTTTTGTTAAAATTATTTGATAGTTTTTTCGATGGTTACGGATTTATAAATAGTGATCATGTCAATTTTTCAATACGATTTTGATAATCCTTTTGATAATCCATCCACTTTCTCTCATATGCTTACAAAAAAATCCTTGTTGCTAGAGATTTTGCAAAAATCTCTTCAAACTTGTAAGCAGGATGTAATGTTTCTTCTAATTTCCAAGAAGCTTTAAAAAACGTTTCAAATTTTTTAACAAGTTGCAAAAAGTGTTTCAATTTTTTTAACAAGTTGCAAAAAATGTTTCACTTTTTGACAAAAAGCGAAAACTGTTTCACTATTTTCGACAAGATGCGTAAAAGGTTTCACTTCTTTTGACAAAACACTGAAATTGTTTCAATTTTTTGGACAATATGCGAAAAATGTTTCACTTTTTTTGGCAAGATGCAAAAAAGTTTTCAGTTTTTTTTCTCAAGATTCGAAAAAATTTTCACTTTTTTTGGAGAAAGCGAAAGTTTTCTCAAGTTTTTTTGGACAATATGTGAAAACCATCAGGTATTTTCTACTTTTTTACAATTTTTCTGGTGTTTTTTCTAATATGTGTGCAAAAATTATACAATTTTTTAAATATGTGTGCAAGTTGGGTGCGCTAAAATTAAGTTTTAATTGTTTTTCATTGATCTACCTTGAATTTCTCATCTATCTTCATAATTAAAAAGAAATTGAAGAAACTAATTAACTACAAAGAACGAAAACACTACCAAACAACAATTTTTTTTTCAAAAAAAGAGAATCAAAGAGCTGTTGAGCAGCAGAAGGGTTCTGGAGGTTCTCTATGAACACAGAGATGAACGAGGTTCCATTGCTGGTGGTTGTTGTGGAGGGGTGTTTTGTGTCGTCATTGTTTCTAGGAACATCATCTTCATCTATTGTGATGGGGTTTTCGGCAGATCCTGCTTCCTCTGAAGGAAAGACGAAGTCGTCGACTGGTTGAGCCACGAACCTTGAGTCAGGAACCTCGGGGTAGTTCTTTCCCACATGCTCAGCCAGTTCCTCCATCATTTTCATTTCTCCAAGTTGGTTCTCTATCATGGGTACTTGCGTCATATGATGTTCGTTGAAATCCCTTCGCATCATTTCTACCATGTGCCAGACTTGGATTGGGATGTCCATTCGTGCCAGAAAAACTAGCTTCCACACTAGCTTCCACACAAACTATCGGTTCAGCATTTCTGGAAAGATTTCGTAAAGTACAAAACTCAAAATATGAACATGATTTGTTAAAATTAATTGATAGTTTTTTCGATGGTTATGGATTTATAAATAGTGATCATGTCAGTTTTTCAATAAACTTTTGATAATCTTTTTGATAATCCATCCACTTTCTCTCATATGCTTACAAAAAATCCATGTTGATAGAGATTTTGCAAAAATCTCTTCAAACTTGTAAGCAGGATGTAATGTTTCTTCTAATTTCCAAGAAAATTTAAAAAACATTTCAAATTTTTTTAACAAGTAGCAAAAAGTGTTTCAATTTTTTTAACAAGATGCGCAAAGTGTTTCGCTTTTTTGACAAAATGCAAAAAATGTTTCACTATTTTCGACAAGATGCGTAAAAAGTTTGACTTCTTTCGACAAAATACGAAAATTGTTTCAATTTTTTCGACAATATGCGAAAAATATTTCACTATTTTTGACAAGATGCGTAAAAGGTTTCACTTCTTTCGACAAAATACGAAAATTGTTTCAATTTTTTCGACAATATGCGAAAAATGTTTCACTTTTTTTGGCAAGATGAAAAAAACGTTTCAGTTTTTTTCTCAAGGTACGAAAAGTGTTTCACTTTTTTTTGAAAAAAAGCGAAAAATTTTTCAAGTTTTTTTGGACAATATGTGAAAACCATCAGGTATTTTCTACTTTTTTACAATTTTTCTAGTGTTTTTTCTAATATGTGCGCAAAAATAATCAATTTTTTTAATATGTGTGCAAGTTGGGAGCGCTAAAATTAATTTTTAAATGTTTTTCTATGATTTATCTTGAATTTCTCATCTATCTTCATAATTTAAAAAAATTGAAGAAATGAATTATTTACAAAGAACGAAAATATTACCAAACAACACTTTTTTACAAAAAAAAGAATCAAAGAGCTCTCGAGCAGCAGAATGGTTCTGGAGTCTCTCTATGAACGCAGAGCTGAACGAGGTTCCATCGCTGGTGGTTGTTGTGGAGGGGTGTTTTGAGTCGTCATTGTTTCTGAGAAACCCTCATCTTCATCTATTGTGATGGGGTTTTCGTTAGATCCTGCTTCCTCTGAAGGAAAGACGAAGTCGTCGACTGGTTGAGCCACGAACCTTGAATCAGGAATCTCGGGGTAGTTCTTTCCCACATGCTCAGCCAGTTCCTCCATCATTTTCATTTCTCCAAGTTGGTTCTCTATCATGGGTACTTGCGTCATATGATGTTCATTGAAATCCCTTCGCATCCTTTCTACCATGTGCCAGACTTGGATTAGGATGTCCATTTGTGCCAGAAAAACTCCGGTGACTGTTTCTCGCACTTTAGTTTGTACTAGATCAGGCGAAAATTCTACAGAGGACATAAGGTTGCTGTTTTGAACTGAGAAGATCATTTTGAGCAATTAGTTGAGTAGAAGAGTCAAAACAAAAAAGATTTTGTGCTGAGAGAGGAGGTAGCTGACGGTATATAAGTTGAAATTAAATGATTTAATGCTGAGAGAGGAGGTAGTTGATGGTAGTTTAGTTGAAATTAAAATGATTTTTATTTAGGAGTGAGGGGTACCTTCAACTCGAATATGCGGATTTAACCAATCAGAACTGATTTTCCATATTTAGATTGTAGTCGTGTCCAATCAGATTTCAGCTCTTTTTTATGGAATTTTTACATAACAGTCGTGTCCAATTGGAAACAAAGTTCCATTTTAGTACTTTTTACACATTGTCGTTTCCAAGCACAAAAATGTTCCTTTTGTTCTAGTTGTCGTGTATAATCAGACGACCCTTTTAACGACTTATAACTTTCAAAAACGAAAAGTATATACAAAAGCAATCGCAATAAGAAATGATCAAAAATTTTTTTGCTGTAAAAATAAAAAAAATTGCCGATATAAGCAACAAAAGAAAAAGAAATAGAACAAGTAGCATTTCCACAAATTTTTTCATCAAGTTAATTGAATTCGTTGTATGTAATCATCGCAAAATTGCTGCTGATTTTTGAATAGATAGTCAAGTTCTTTGATTATGATGTAAAGTTGGGATAATAACTCAAAGCTGATGAATTTTTCAAAGCAAGTCTCTGGAAATCTGATTCCAAACCGGTTCAAGCAGGATTTTGAGCTTTGAAAAATATTAAAGCAACGAAGGAATAAAGAACTTTGTTCGGCCATTTTTACAAGTTTGGGTGTCGATAAGGAATAAATAGAGTCTTTGATATATTATCGTACGACTTTCTGATTAATTTCAAATTCTAGAGAATAAACAAAATTTTTTTCCTCGTGATGTGTAATTCAGCTGTAAGTTTGAAGCTTTGATACGTAATTTGTGGATCAAAAGTAAGCTCTTCGATTGAGTAAATTTCTCTAAAGAGACCTTTACTTAGTCGGATAACTCTATTTTGTACAATAAAAACGTCCAAAAAATTGTGAAAAAAGTAAGAGTCAACATCTATTTTATCAATGAGAAAATCAAGTGGAGTTTTATCTTTTTTCTTTTAAATTTAGTCGAGGAAATTCAAATGTTTTTTCATAGACATTTTTCAAATAAAGATCAAAGTTTTTAAAAAAGGATAAACAGTTCACTTTTAGAAAATGCTGGATTCTGATTGGTTGATTTCCTACCAACAGAGTTACTAAAAGAATACTTAATTCTGATTGGTTGATTTTCTCTCAACAATAGTGATTAAAAATCATTTCAATCTGATTTTTTTTCACGTTGAAAGCAATCGCCCTATACTTTGTTTAACTACTTGAAAACATTTTCAAATATGTTCATCAATTCTAAGTACGTATAAATTATCTATTAACTTTTTTGGGATATTTTAAATCTCTCAATTTTGTTAGTGCCACGTCCTTTTGTTTAATTTTGGTACATGCTAAATCTCCCACTTTTGGTCAGATGATTTCACTGAACAGGAATGAGAAAGTGAAATGCGAGGACTGTAGTAAGATGTATGTTCGTGAAAATGCAGCCCGACATCGCAAGAATTGCGTGCGAGGAGTTATTTCTTGTCCGGAATGTAATTATTGTACTTAGAACCAGCAAGAAATGAATTTCCATACGAGCAAGAAGCACGTGGAGTCAACCCCAAAGTAAACAATGTGTGTATCGTGTGAGAAAAAATTTCCCAGCTATTATTCACTTCAACAGCATCGCAAGAAAGATCACGGGTTGAAAGCGTGGAAGACGAGTGATTCTGTTGCCGATTTGACTAAAATCTTGGAAAACGAGGAAGAAAGTGATTAGCTACGTAATGAGTTGAATGCCTGTCAACACTTCTTGACAGATACTGAGATGGAAAATGGACGCCACAACGTATTCAATTTTCAACTTCCAAAACTAGATCCTCATCTAGTTAATGAAAATCTGGATCAAATTTTTGAAAAACTTGATTGTGCAGAAAGAGTCAAGATTGCCTTGGGATTTGTGTTATGTAAAATAGAATCCGGCGAATACGGTTATTTCTACGCTCATGAAAATAACACACTCTTTGATAAATCTATGCTGCTTTGTACTAAAGCAGACTTGACGACTATACCGAACAAGGTAAATAAGCAAGATATCCTCAAAGTTTGTACACAAGAGAGACAAAAAACTAATTGGCGATTCAAGTTGATCACAAATAAGACCATTTTTGCCGCCCTACTGAAAAATGTACCCATGGGATGTCCAGATTCTGTGATTCTCGAACCAGTTCTGAGGAAAAACCATGTTACTTACTTGGTTTCGGATCAAAACACAAAACAACCATACAATGATAATTTGTGTTTGTTTCGAGCACTTGCAGTTCATTTGCCTGGAACAACTAGTCTTGAAACAGCCACCTCCATGATTTTTATTGTTTTCCTGAAAAAACGGATTGTGATTCGAAACAATTTCGTGGAATTTTGATGGATAATCTGCCAATAGAAACACATCTTTATCTTTTCGACATTGAAGATACCGACAAGGGAGATGAAGATTTCTTGAGTGAATTAGCTCGGAGAAGTATCGGTAAATACGAGAATACAGTAAAACTTCTACAATACAACAACCACATTATTCACGTCAATAACATCGACAATTTCTTCAGATGCTTCCGATGCTCAACTTGCGATATATTTTTCCACAAAGCAGACCACTTCATTTGATTTGTTGAAAGATCGAATCAAAAAAATGTACCATAAAAAGTTTACAATCTGTGAGAGACGTTGTTTGAAAAATTAGATGAGTATAGCAAAGAACAAACCTTATTCAAAAATATTGCTTTCAATCAATTTGCGTGCCATCCCAAGAGCTAAAACTGACAGAAACAATAACTTGGATTGGGACGCATGAACCCATATCAATGTCAATCTCGTCCAACTTGCTTAATAAACCCATATTTTTGTGCGACAAAGGTCCACAATCCCTCATTATTGACTTTGTGGCAAAATTGGAGTTGTTAGCGAAAAAAAAATAAAGCCGAAATGCGATCAAAGTTTTTAGAAATTGAAAATAACATCAAAAAGCGGCTACACACAATTTTCAGCATACTTAATGAATGAGGCAGTTTCAATAAAAGTGAAGCAAGAGAGTACGAAGACGAATGTATCGAAGACGAGGAAGAATCAGAATATTCCACTCACATTGTCAGGATTCAGAAAAATCAATTGATTGATTTGATGCAACATCTAGAGAGATACACCAATACTTTACCAGTATTTGGCTTCAACAGTGGTTGGTATGATATAAACCTCATTAAATCATTCCTTATTCCGTACCTTATCAACGAAGAAGAAATTGAACAATCAGTTATCAAGGAAGCAAACAATTTTGTTTCCTTCAAATTTGGAGATGTTCAGCTTCTGGACATTATGAAGTTTTTGGGTGGAGCTAATACGTTAGACTCTTTTCTAGAAGCTTACAAATCCTGTGAGATGAATTCAAATACTTTTCATACGAGTGGTTTGATACCCCCAACAAGCTTGATGAACAACAACTACCCTCGAATGATGACTTCTACAGCAAACTGAAGAATAGAAACCCTCTCGATAAAGAGTATGATGATTTTCAGAAGCTTCTCAATACTGAGTTAACTGAAGAGCAAGCCTTCAAAAAACTCGGGCTTAAAACCAAAGCACCTACGGGATTGGAAAACTACAACTATCTTGAATCTATCTGGGAACAGGAAAAGGTGGCAACAATTCGCGATTTTCTACAGTGGTATAACAACAAGGATGTTGTTCGTACTCTTAATGCTATGCAGAAAATGATTGAGTATTATCATGACAAAAGAATAGACAAGTTAAAGCACGGCTGCACACTAACGAATTTAACGAATATCTGTCTACACAAGTCAACCCACTATAAGTTGTACCCATTCCTTTGGAGTGATAGTGACTTGCTTGAAAAAGACGGGAAGATATGACAGGTGGTCCCTCAACTTTTTTCACTAGGAAAGTAGTAGCAAACGGAACGTTTGTTCGAAAATCAAATACATTATGTAAATCAATGATTGATATTGATGCTAGTCAACTCTATCTTTATACTACGCGTCAGGATATGCCCACAGGCATGCATACGAGTTGGGACTACAATAAAGAAACACAAAATTTCAAGGCAAGGCAAAATCGATTTCAAACGTTTGAAAATATGGTCAAGTCATACTTTCGAGCAACCAGACCGGAATGCAAAATTGAGAATTACTACACTACAGGATTACAGAAAAAAATTTATTGCTTCAGTGTTGATGGTTATTGCAACCATTGCTTGACTGTTTTTGAAGCGATGGGTTGTTATTTCCAATTTTGCCTTTTGAATCAAGCTAGACCCAGCATAACTGATGATGAAATCAAACGAGGAACGAAGAAAAGAGCAACGGATGAGCTTCAAAAAGGTTACATTTGAGAAAAAGGATACTCTATAGGAGAAATGTGCGAGTGTAAATGGTAGGATCAACTCAAAAACAAATTACACGTGAAAAATCACGTTAGAACTCACTTTCACTTCAAAAGGCCTCTCTCTTCCAATTCACTACAACAAAACATTAGAAACGAAACAATGTTCGGCTACGTGCAATGCGATCTGAGTGTTCCAGATAAGCTAAAAGCAAACTTTCCTAATTTCCCACCTATTTTTAAAAACATTGATGTTACCAGAAACGATATTGGGGAATATTTGAAGACTATGCCGTAGAAAAAGATTTGTTAAAACAACCACATTGAATGAATGTTGATATCGAGCTTCAAGTTGACCAACGGAAGACTTATCACACCACTTTTCAACTTTTACTTGGATCTTGGACTACAGTGTACAAAAATTCATCCATTTGTACAATATACACCGCGTAAAGTATTCAACAGTTTTGTTCAGTCGATTGTTGATATTAGGCGA